GGGCACTAACCTTGTTTTAAGATAAATGCCTTTTATCCGCGATGTATTGGATAAGTACTCCATTACCCACAATCCTGAACAATCCCATAATCCAACAGTGATGCATCTGATTGGTGGAAGTCGTGTCACGTGTGTGAAACCCCGCGAAGGTCAGAGAAGACTGAAGATCGCTTGATGACGTAGGGCTAAGTTCATTGGTCGCACTTCTGAGACGCCCGCGCGCCATTGGATGTGCAGTTGCCACAGCTTAGCTAATGAGCGAGCCAGATACTCAATATTTTTGCATGTTGAGCTGCAAATGCGTTTGCTTCAGTAAATCGAGGAAAAGGGGTTTCCCTGTACATGTACGTGCTCTTTCACGGTGGTTTTCAGACGACTTCAGTGAGGCGCGGTGGTTTATGGGAGGAGTAGTTCCTTTGCTCGTAAATGAAAATATGTACACAGGCTTGTACCCTCGACTTTTTTTGTATTTTCTCTTCGTTTTTTTCACTAGAAATGATGTGTTGTATGCTTATGAGTTCAGCCGTAGCTGATTATCCTCAGACATGCTCTAATACTCTTTAGATACGGATTTTACAAAATGTCAATGGGAAAAATTAATGGGAAATTTACTTCCGGCACCAGCGCTCTCTCGGGCTGTGGGGGGGACTGTGAAGCTCTATGCAGTTCATCATGACCCTTTAACTTACTTGTATAGCACATGAAAATTCTATCATTTACTCACCCTCAAGTTGTTCCAAACCTCTATGTGTTTATTTTTTCTGCTGAACACAAAGGAAGATATTTGGAAGAATGTTTTAATCAAACAGATCTCAATCCCCATTGACTACCATAGTATGTATTTTTTCCTACTATGGAAGTCAATGGGGTCTATATTATAAAAAAAAAATTATATCGTCGTATATTTATATTACTGTCATTATATTATTATTTTTGACCAAATTCAAGTTCAAATGGAGTTACAATGTTTATGACCAGTGAATTTAGGAGAATTTCAGACATGCGTGTTTTGTCTGTCTGCGCATGGCCGCATCTGAGGCAGTAAGTGCATTGCATTATGTTTTAATCAACTTACAGGTTATAAAGTGTACTGTAGCTACTGTATGTGGGCACTCCGTTTTTTCCATTCCACTCCATTTTGTCAAATTCTCATGTTAATAAAGATGAAGTGCTTTGCCCAGGTTTTTTAAGACAGTAGTGGGTATGACTCAATGACAAATGCTAGATTAAGACTTTTCTCCACTCCTCAAATACATAAAAAAATTAGCATTGAGTAGAGAAAACAATGTATGCACTATCCTAATTTGTATACATCTTGAATCTGAAAGGGATGCTCAATTTTCTGTAAAAAAGTTCAGTGAAAGAATCTAGTAATTTTAAGAAAGGGCTTTATAATTGGACAAAAAGTGTGACATTATTGCAGAGTGACAGAAGACTACAACCCACATTTTAGTGCCGATCGGTAACTGTCACGTGTAATGAGGCAGAGAGTCATGACAAACTGTCTCTGAAGCTTTCACTGCAGTAGTAGCTGCATGTATATAAAACATGCTTTCAAGCAAAGTCAGCAAAAAGTCATTTATAATGTAATTTAAAGTTTCTCACAGCTTGATGAACACTCTTAATATACTGCACACTGTAAAAGAAATGAGGCCAATGACAAAGCTGGGTAGCACTTGTTTTCTGATATTGATGAGCTATAATTACTATAGCTGTAAGAAAACACACGGAAAGCACAGGAGCATATGGCAATTGACCAATTTTTTTTTACCCTTTCCCAAACCACATCTCAACCGAGATAAGTGTCTGCTCAGGATTAAGTTATGCTGTAGACCACAACACCAACTAAACGTCTACATCGGTTCTAAGTTAAGTTGACAACGTATTTGAACGTTATCTTTAAAATCTCTAACGTAACGTTAGCCTAACATTAGAAAACGTTAACTTCTAGCTGCATTGTACATGTCACTTAGCTTCATTAATGTATCTGTAAATAACCGAGATAACAAATGGTAACAATGTTGTGCTGAATGATTCATGAAAATACTGTAGCAACAAATGGTGATGGCAACAATATGCGGTTTATCACATTTACACTGTGCCCTGTACATTTTTGCCTGGAGCTGAAGCTTTTAAAATTAATAATAATAAAATTATTAATATAACCCTCCAATGCATAGTTAAGGCCCTTTAGGTGACTAGTTCAAGATAATATATAATCTTTCTGTCACTAAAATCACCAATTGCCTTCTGTGAAATGTCTCCTAATGTGACAGCTGCCATATCGCCTGTTGACGTTGACTGTTTGTCCGAGTGAGTGGAGGGGGCGTGGCTTAGCCATAGGTCAATTGGAAAAAGAGATAATCCATAGTCTTAAAATGATCAAAGTGAAAATAAGAACAAGTGATCAAGTTTTCGGTGGAAAACATTACGCTTAAAAGCAATGGCAGGCTTATTGGTCAGGTGAAAATACTTTCTACTGTACATGATTTACATCAACACAGATTACTGATTATTTCAAAATGTCCTCCAGTCAGGCCAAGCAGAGGAAGATAGATTTATCTTTTAATCCTTAGTTCTACCCAAGGTTAATTGCGAACTCAACTTTAAGTTACGTGTTTCTTGTAACCATGCTTCATTGTCATTGAAGGTCTAGCTATATTACCCCTTTAAAAGCCCTTTAGGCAATTACTGTTGTACAAAGTGTTATACCCAGTGTTGTTATTTTCCATCAGATGGAATATCAATTTCTAAATCCAACACATGGCAAAAGTTCATTTTTCAATAAAGCCTTGGTAGACACCCAACACAGCCTCATCTGATTGGAAATTGCATAAGAAAAAATATTTCATTATAGTAGAAAAGGCCAAATCATACAGAGATCTACAGTATATGAGCCTAATTTGCTTTACACTTCATTACACTTTCAAATTCAGTATTTTCAATATTAGCCCTATTTAAAACTTATACTGTAGTAGGCTATATTTGTCATCATGTCATGAGTCATTTACAATATTTTACAATATTGCTACCTATCTGATGATAAATGTGGCTGCTGTGATCAGCAATGGATGCATTAAGATGGATACTACAATGCTAAAATATACTTATAGCCAACCGCTGATAGCCAGCTGAGCAGGAAGTAAAGTGTTTTGACCATGTGAACCTTGTATAATATACTGTGATATTATGAGTTGTTCCACAACCTTTCGTGAATATATATTGACATACAGTATTAATAATATGTAGGCAATGAATTTCAGCTGAGGCACCCTATATGCATTTTCCCCCCAGAAAAGGTTCAAATAAATTTTAATCACATAAGATCAACCCTTGTGAAAAAGAAGTGCACTCAATTGTATTGAATGTCCACTTGTAGTGTACTTCAAATCTTAAGAGCACTTGAAGAAAACACACATTCTTGCCCATGTTTTTACAATTGCTATTAAAAACTACCCAATTATAGTAAAAAGTGCACTTTGTAATGCCAAAAGTTTTACTTTAAAGTACACTTATATCAATGTGTTTACTAGCATAAATAAGCACATGTAAATTAGGCTACTTGTAATTTGAACTGGAGTGTAATATTCCATATTAAAGGTAATATGTTTTAAATTGCAACATTGCATGTGTAATCACAAATATATGTAATACATGACATACAAGTTTTAATGTAATAATTACATTAAATTATTTTTTATTGTTGTTTTGTTTACTTAAATGCTTGTCAGTACATTTAACCATATTTTAAAGACAGCCAAAGGAATTACATGTGCATACATTAAAGTCCTTTTTAAGTGGGTAAAAAAGCTACATGCATTTAATATAAATTTAAACTACAATAAATTAACATGCAGATTAGTGTCCGTAAATATTCCATTCAGTTTGCAAAGTGTTTTCTTTTAATTATTTCTGTTATAACAATATCTATTTTAATATTATATTGTTATAACAATATCTATTTAAAAAAAACAAAACAATATCTATATCTATTTTATCTATTTTAAAAGTCTTCTAAACATCAGTAGCTAGAAAAAGTTGTTTTATTCTACATGGAGCAAGTTGGTCCTTAATTTAGTTTCATCCTCTACTTTTGACAACCCTCATAAGCACCGTCATCAATCTTCAATCGTCCACCTGACAGCCATATTACACAAACATGCCAAGACTTGTAAACCGGGTTGTATCTGTAATTCAAAAGAGCTTCCTAATTTTGAAGTAGAACGTTTTCTTTCGACCTTTCAGTGAATTTATGATATACAGTTAACATAGCAGGGAGAAAAAAAATTCAGTTGTGCTGCAACTCTATCACGAAAATGCATCAATGGATTGAGAAGTCACCGTGTACTGAGACATTTCCATGTAAATATCTATCTATAATGCTACATTTTCCAGCACATTGCCTTTTATGCCTAAATTTTTCTTAAAAGTGCTGTAAGCTAATATTTTTGGTGGAATACCACAAAATATCCCTACTACCCGACAGATATCACTGAAAAAGATGTCCAGAGGAATCAAATCTGTCTGTGACAGCCCTAGGCAATGTAAACAGCAAAAAAGGGAAAGGGAGTGGTCCGCACTTTTTTCATCAGAAATATTGTATTTTCTGGAATTAAAGTTAGAATATAAATTCTAGCATCGCTAATCTGTCATCACAGCCTTTATATTATAGAGCAAAAATGCAGCCAACAAAACAGAAGTTACACAGCTTTGCACAGTACCTATGGAAAACTGAAAGGGTATGTGAAATATTATTTCGAAAAGCTAGAATCACTGAGGGCGATGATGGTAGATTGGATGACTTGGTAGGGAGGACGACACGGTGGTTTCCTCCGGTCTAAGTGGGCAGTTCTTGGCCAGAACAAGCTGGCACAAAAAAAATAAATAAATAAAATTCTGGCCTTGTGAGACACATCTCAAATCATTAACAGAACCTTCAACTGTCAATATTCAATTAGCAGAAGCATTGCGTCGATTTCCTTATGCATCACTTTGGTTACCTGAGAATCGCATGGAACCTCCTCTGGCGGACAGGGGTGGAGCCTGGAAAGCGTAGATTACATCACTCTCTGAGATACTCGTCATATCATCTTCATCAGAGAAAGAGCGCTGGAAGCCATTTGAGTTCATCTCTGTCAAAATCACCTATAAGAGAAAGAGAAATGTTCATTTCAAAAGGCATTGCAAACCATGAAACGGATTATTCTGATAAACGAGCAACTTGGGTTTAAGTAGATAAAGATAAATAGTATATAATATTGCGGTCATAGTCAGATTAAGCTATTCTAAACCAGCCATGCACATACTCATACACTCATTACTGCCTCCCACCACAAGAGGGGGCCACCATCTACAGTAGTATATTGTGTGGGATGCCCTGCTAATACAAAGTTTTTACAATAATAATAATAAAGTTATTAAGGCAAATGTGCATGTTGCTATTATTATACTAATAATTTAAACCACACGCACATTATATGGTTAGTTCAAAAAAGAAAACAAAGTTATTTACCCTCATGTCATTCCAAACCCACATGACCGTCAAATATGGTAAACGGAAGCTCAATGTGCATGCTTGACATGAGAATCAATGAGGTTTGTGTTCCAAACAAACACAAAAACAGGTTTGTGTAACATCATGGTAATCATCATTATGACATGTGGAATGTTGGACCCAACGAAAGCCAAAATCAAACAAATCAAATGTGCACTACAGTAGGTTTCAATAAGTGATGACGTGTGTGATTGAATGCATGTTCAAGGATTATAGAAATGATTATAACAGTCTCATTAAACATGTATCTTGCAGCACAATAACACCTTGAGCCCTGGCTGAGCAAGTCTGGGTAGTTTCCATTAAGCAACAGATGGAGTGTTCAGAGGAGGCAGTTTAATGGCTTATGAATTAGCTATTATTCTTCACAAGCCTGGAAGATGTATGCAAGAGGAATTCTTCTCTAGCAAGACTTTGTAAGGTGTGTTTGTGCAGTGCAATACAATATTTTATTATGAACGAATGGTGTGAGTGTGACGTATTGCACACAATAGTTCAAGAATAGGAACAGATGAGACAAAGAGAGAGAAAACACCAGCAGATATGATAGACAGCATGTCTCACCTGGTCTGAAGAGATCTTGCCCTCCTCTGCTACCATGGCTCTGAGTGTTGAGACCGACCCAAAGAGAGGCACAGCCAACCCTACTCTCACAAACCGCTGACCTTCATTGTTGAACACCAGTGTCACATTCAAGGCCCTAAAAACACAATAACATACATATTTAGCGCATCATCTAATACAGCTGTTCATGATGTCAATTTGTAGGCAAATTCATCTAATTCACTATGGGTTCCTAGGTTTTTTTCACCATAGCATTTTTTTCCATTTATAAGAACAAATGGGAGGTCTCTTCAAGTAATGGTAACCACAGACATTTTTGCAACATTAATGGAACATTAAAACTCCAACAAAATGTGTTTAAAGCTTTTAGTTGTCTTAAAAATGTTGCTAAATGTCATCCCTTAAGTCATCCTAGATGTATATGACATTCTTCTTTTAGACAAATACAATCGGAGATAAATATACAAAAATGTCCTGGTTCATCCAAGCTTTATAATGGCAGTGAATGGCTTTATATCGTTACATAAAAAAAAAAAAAAACATAAAAGTGCATCAATCTAGAATACAAGTGCTCCATTCGGCTCTGGTGAGGTTAATGAAGGCCATCTGAAGTGAAGCGATGCGTTAAGTTTAAGAAAAATATCCATTTTTAAAACTTTATCGACTATGATAACAAGCTTCAGGCAGAAGGACAACACAAGTTTACTTATGACAAAAGATTAACTCTCAATGCATGACGTAGGATGAGCGTAAGCTTTGACGGCTCTCGCAGTTCAAACAAACGGGGCAGGGCAACAAACTCAAGCTCTTCCAACATCTCTCTTAAAAAAAATTATCATTTTAGACTTCTAATCCATGACTGGTGTTTTGTTTTGCTCTATCCTTTGCTCTGCCGCATTCGTCATTACGTTGTACGTCAGGTCAAAGGAACGTTTTTCGATGTACAGTAAATAGATGCGTAGTGCGTACGGCCGTCTGCCGTAAGCTAGTTATTTTAGTAGATAAAGTTTTAAATACCGATATTTTTCTAACACAAACGCATCACTTCACTGCAGAAGGCCTTTATTAACCCCCCAGAGCCATGTGGATTACTTTTATCATGGATGGATGCACTTTTATGGCAGAAACGGCCATTCTCTGCCATTATAAAGCTTGGAAGAGCCAGGGCATTTATTTCCATTTGTGTGAAAAAAAGTGTCATATACACCTAGGATAGCTTGAGGGTGAGTAAATCATGGCGTAATTTTCACCGTTTATAAATCAAACTCTGGCAAATTATTACAGCTCAAATTTTTAGGGAAAATCTTTTTAAATAAAGACTGGAAGGACTTAAGGAGTTGTTGGAAGCCTAATGGAGCTTTTTTTGTCCATACAAAGGAAATAAAAGAAACATAATTTTTTATCTTTGAGTGGACTATCCCTTTAACCATGGTTAAAAACTAGTGTAACACAAGTCGCATTTCCATTACCCTTCAAATTGCGCTAAATTAAAATTGGGAATATAAAATACGCCCATTGGAAACAAGTCAATTTCACAAAAACTCCCATATAAAAAGTTTTTACAATCTCATGAGGTGGTTTTTCAGGCAGGCCGAAAAAGGAACTCCTTTGGAAACAGTTTTTGTGCAATTACAGGTCACCTTGCCATTAATGCTTGGATAACATGTCTACGTCTCCTTCCATTAAAAATAATGTCTAATGCGGTGGCTGGGATGTAAACCTACCAACATCCATTGCCATAATTGTTGGAATAACTTAACTTATTGACTGAATGACTTGAAATAACTAATCGCGAGAGGAAAAAAAAAACATTTTAGGCGCATAATTTATCGGTCATAATGTAATTTTGTAATCGTTTTTTTTATATTGATATTTAGAAAATATCATAATGCGCAAATCTGTAATGGAAAAGCAGTTACATACTCTTGTGGTTTATTGTTTAGTGTGTGATAGAGTGAGTAACCAAATTAAAATCTATTCGCAACATGCAGGGCTACAGTCTGAGTGAGTGTAGATATGTCTGGTTGTGCGTGTAGCCTACACTCTAACACTGCCACATACACAACGCTTGTGGGTGCAGTGCAAATTAGGGTTGGGAGCTGATCTGTTTGGCTTGAATAGTTTTTATATAAATACAAGCCAGTTGCACAGCTGCGGACCGTCTTAGCACAGTATAGCATTTTTCACTGCAGCTGCAGTTGTGGACATTATGGCTCTGGAGACTTGGGTGGACTTTTAGATGCTTCTCTCTGCTGCATTATTGAAAGCTGTATGTGAAATGCTGGACGCAACAAAAGCACTCAGTTGTAAAAAAAAAACCTACACTCTCACTTGAGTGAACCAGAAAGAAGTCAACTGCAGCCTTTTAAATATTATCTCAGAGTCTGAATCATATGAAAGAGTTTTATATATGTGGACTGTCAATCAAACTTAGCTTATTCTGTGTTTTCAGAGTGTATCTGAGTGTGGTAAAGTGCAGGTTGGATGTGTTACCTCTTGCAAAGACATATTTGTGCATTATTACTTTGAAAAGTACAGTCTGACTACAGCGTACCAAATATCTGCAGACACCAACTAGAGTTAATCACATTGATGTCAAAAAAACTGAAAGCACTAATTGGGTAAGTCTGAAAAAAAAGCGATCATATTTCACACTAGTGGCAGTAATACAACTTTTCACACAAATTATGATCTCAGACGCAGATTTTAAATTAACAGAGGATTATTTTTTGGTGCATTTCCTTGCCCAATACTATGTTATGACTTTTTAGCATAGTGCATGACTTGTAAACTACATTTTGCCACTTGCATCACATAACCAACTCCATGTTTAGGCTTTTCTGACATAGTAAACTTGCTTGGTAGATCATCTGGTACAACACTGCACTTGCCATGCATCATTTTATAGAAATGAAGTCAGAACATGTTGTGGGAAGAAGATGTTGTAAGAACATACCATAACACAAATGGTTGTACAAATTTAAATTTAATTTATGGTAATGTATTAATGGAATTCATGTACAGGTAGTATTACAGTAATTAGAAAAAAAAATGTATATTGTTTTCATTTTATATATGTATTTCTTGAAAGTTTCGGAAGAGTTTCGCCCACCAGCTCAATGAAAGATCATTTATTGTATTTGATCTCTTTGACTAGAGGCACTTGGGCACTGTAGATTGGCTCCCTAAAGTCTTGGCCAGGACATGTCACATGTAAGCAGTGCTGGTCTGCTGATAGAAGTGTTTCTGTATGGTAGTATGGTAGGCTTTAGCACTAAAACTCTCGTTGAAATTTACTGAAGACCTTTCAATTTGGCCCCCTAAGCACTCAGAAAGGCTAGAAATGCCATTTTCACTTTCATGAATGTGATTCAGAAATGCTGGGAAATCTGAGTGTTAAGGACAGTAGGAATAAGTCTCCATGATGAGCCGTAGTTCTCTCCATACAGTATATTTTCTCGCGTTCTATTATCGGTCTGTCTGACAGATTTTGCTGACTGGCAGTTTTTGAGATTTAAGAAAATTGAGACAATGTTCTGGTAAGTGCTGTTCACTTGGTCATTCATCACATGAAGAATTTCAGGGTGGCTATGGACACGAACACACTGAAACACATGATAGCAAAGATACACACAGACACAAACACGTATACAGACATAAAAATACATACAGCATACAGGCAATGAGTCCTAATAGATTTCAAAGAGATAAAGACAGAAGGAACAGTAACATACCTGGTTTGTCGTAGTGGGATCGGAAGTGAAATACACAGAAAAGGGTCAAAGGTGTTGCTCTGTTTAAGGCAATGAGGGCACGTCAGTGATGACCTGAAACATAGAAATGACCATTTCTTTAAAACACTCAACCATAATAATCAATAAT